TACAATATTAAAAATAAATTCTTGAATAAAAAAATTAATTATATAATAACACATTATATTATAAATTTATAATATCATATGATATTGTAATTATAGTATTTTTCTTGTAAAAACATATGCATAATTCTGAACAAAAACTCAAATCGTTAGGATGGAGGGATTATTACTACTTTTGTTTCAAATTAATAATTGATTTTTAATCTTTTAGTTTTTAATTAGTTATGTATTTTTTTAATTTCTAAAATTAACAATTTTTTGTTTTAATCATACTATTATTTTTTAAATTTAATTCTTCACCAAATTACTAAAAGCATAAATCTTTTAAAATTCTTAAACCATAAAGAAAATTATCCTCCCAAAAAGTCAAAAATCGATCATTATTCTTGGGACCATAGTGAATTTTCCAAGTGTTAATTGACCCGGCTTCAATGTGATAGCCAACAAAAAGAGAAGTTCTCATCCAGTTTTTGATTTCGTGGTTCAGCAAAAACTACCAAATGAAAAAAAATTCACCCCTATTTTAGGAGAAATTTTAGAATATCATGGTGATACCACTCACGTGGTATCCCGCTCCAATAAAAATACAACAGCTCAGCTCCCTTAATACACGTCATCAAAATGTAATGGGAGATGAAATTTAATAGAAAACACAAATCTCCGTCAACATTAACAGAGATTAAGTCCCCATCCCAAAGGTAGGGTTAGAAGATTTCCCCTTTTTTCACAGGACTTCGTTCCTCTCCATCTTAGATTCTCACGGGCAAGCAGCAGGCGTCGAGGCAAACGGTCATGGTGCAATCGTTTCATGCTATAATGTTTTCATTTCACCCGATCCAGAAAATTTTCCCTTTTCGAGTTCACCATCCTTTTCCTCTCCATCTACATCACAAGTTTGTAGAAGTACTTTCATTTTTACTTGTAATTAATGGTAGTTTCTTGTTTCTTGAATTTACAGTGTACTATATTTTGGAGCAAAGTGCAGTTTTGCGTCTCATTCAACTGGAAAGTTTTCGTGAAATTGGGAAATAAATCTTTTTGATGATACGATTTCGGTTGACACTGTCTCTTAGTTGGTAAGCCCAAAGAAAATTTTTGTTAGGGCCTCTTCTCCCCCTTTTGCTTTCTATCCATTTTTTAGGTTCTAATTTTAGATAATAGACTAATTAATAATTATTTATGATTCTGTTTATATTTCTTGCCTTTCTAAATTTACAAGCCTTCTTTGAGTTTGCTGATACTCCTTCACATAATTCTAACAATGTGCTATACATCAGGATAAATTGATAAAATCACCTAACAAGTTCTTGCATTAGAAATTTAATTTTTTTTTTCTTCTTCCAGAGATTGAATTAATTCAAATTCAATGAAATATATTGTAAAATTCCCAGTTTTTAGTCGCCAAGATTCATATTTTATGTCAATTTCTTGTGTTTTGTCCTATTTACTGCTCTAGCTCTCTCGCTACTGAATAAGAATTGTAATACCCCGAAATTTCTACAATATTAAAGTGAGTCAGGGACCTAATTGTGAAAAAATATTATTGAGGGGTTTAATAGAAAAATTTTCAAAAGTTGAGGGAGTAAAAAAGAAAGAAAATTAGGATAAGGATCAGCTGCTTTCCTTTTTCTTTTTTTCTTTCTTTCTTTTCTTCCTCATCAGACCCGCGTGTCTGCTCTGTTCTTCTCCCCTGACTCTTCCTCCCGACAGGCCCCCCTAAGCCACCGACTCTCTCCCCCTTGAAAAACCGGTGAGGAAACTTGATTTTTTCTTGCTTTTCTTGTTCAAGAACCCGATTTGGAGCTTAGAAACTGTAATTGCACCAAACCAGGAGTCCTTCTTCAGTCCGCACTTGCACTCCGGGAAGACCTGCAAAGCCCCGAGGTTGAACTCGGGGTAGACACTCCGATGCTTAAGTTAGCAATAATCGGGGCTACCTTTAGAGCGGAGATAAAAAGAGCTTAGGGTTGGTTTCAATTACCTTTCTGAGGTGGCCCCTGGGGGTATTTATAGGCCTTTGTGGGGTATCCACGTGGTTTGTTTAGTAGGACAATCGGAGCCTGACGTGTCTATCCAGACGATTATTTCGGGACCGGGAATTTGAGAGGTATTCAGATGCACGGATGTCCACCATACTTGTGCCACTCGTCATAAGGAATTAGGTGCGGGCATGCTTATTGGCATTGTCATGCAGCTATTTGAGCAGGGAGCTTTGGATTCATTTGTCACTTCGGTTATAAAGAAATTACTATAGCAGTCAGAGGCTTGGCATCTTGGACTTGTCCTTACACTATTCCCCCCCGAAGTCATTCACTTGTGAATGACGTTGCTGGGGATAATGAGAGGAGTGCATGAACAAAGAAATTACGGATAAGTCATGGAAGTATAAGGAAGAAAGCTGTAATTTAAATTTAGACATAGCCGTAGCTAATAATGAAATACATAACAGTGGGTCATACTGGGGTGCCTTAAATGGAATATGACCAGAGCTATCACGGCTGTGGTCGTGGTGAAAATAATGACCGGAGTCATAATGTAAAAGATGATGACCGAAGTTATAATGGAGCCAAGGTCATGATAAAAATGATAACTGGAGTTACAAAGGCCAAGGTCGTGATGGAAAGTGATGACCGGAGTCATAATGGCCGGAGCCGTAATAAAATATAATGACCGGAGTCATAAGGGCCGGAACCGAAGTAGAGTATGTGACATGTGGTCGCAGTAACCAGGACTGAAGTAGAACATGTCTCTGTGGCCGGAGCCGAAGTAAAACACTTTGCCCATCAAAAAGTGTAATTGTAAAAGTAAGCAGAAGTGCTGAGCTGGGCTTGAAATATGATGACCGGAGTCATAATGGCTGGAGGTATAATAAAATATAATGACCGGAGTCATAATGGCCGTAGCCGAAATAAAATGTGTGATACTGGGTCACTGTGACCGAAGCCGATGTGAAATATAATGCATGATTATTGTGGTCGAAGCCGAGGTGAAACACTTTGCAAAATTGAGAATGTATAAAAGTGAACAAAGGTATTGAAATGGGCGTAAATGGGCCCGTGTAAAAATACTGACATGGGTGTGACAGTTGTCCTTGGAAGGACGTGTGCAATAAATGTGGCCGTAAAAAGATAACTGCAACAGTTAAACGGGCAAAAAGTAAAAAATTAAAAAATGAATCGTCAAATTCAAAACGGTACCGTTTGGGGTTGGCCATCAAATTCTAAACGGTGCAAATAGGAACCGTAAGATTAAATGAATCTTAGCCGTTGAGATCTAATTTTGCCCAGAAGTATAAATAAACATTTTTTCTGCAGAGGGAGGTTTACTTGCATTCCTTTCTTTGCAAAACTTTTGCGAAAAGCTTTATTGTGCGTGAACTGCGGTAACAACTGGGGATCTCTACATCAAATCTTTCGAAACCGAAATCAGGTAATGTATGACAAACCTCTGATTTTGAGTTAATCGAAGTGTCACTTCTCCTTTCTCCCTTTCTGTGATTGATTTAGAGTCCTTTGAAGGAAGTTAGGGTTAGAGGCGAGAAGGATTTTGAATGTGCAAC